ACAAATCAAAAAGTTCTGAAAGGGAAACATGCAAAAAAAAAAGCATTCGCAGAGGTTCTCCTATCAATAATGATCCAAAACTTGCCATATATGTAACTTTCAAATGAATGAACTTATTAAAGTTATATTGGTTTTGAAATGAAAGTTGTTAATATGGATAATCAAGGTAAATTCTAAGAATTAATTAAATACACAACTAATACCCTGCTTCCTTGTTAAATGCCTTTGCCTTTTAAATGGTTTTTAATAGGTGATTGACTATAAAACCCATGATATTAATGGAACAAATACAACTTTAGATCGCATTACTGATGATTTGTGTACTTTTCAGAGCTGAAAAAGCCCGCCCAGGAGTTGTACACGCTGATCAACTACGGCGAGATGCGGCGCAAGCTGCAGTTCCTCACCGAGAAGCACTTCATGAAGCTGAAGCAGCTGGTTTACCAGGGCCAGATCACGGTGCGCTGCAAGGGCAAGAACATCCGCATCAAGACGCCGTCGTGCAAGGCGCTCCGACGCCTCAATCAGCTGGATGGTGAGTCTAAGGTCTAGGGTCTCCCCAAAATATCATTGTCTAATGACAACTGGTGGCCAATCATGAACAGATTCCCTTGAGGACATACGGCTGCCCAGCAAAGTGGAGGTGCTGGTGACGCCCGCCAACATGGAGGCCTTCGGTCGGGTGCAGTCGCTGGCCCAGAATCCGCGCGGCAGGATCATAGTGCCGCTGCACAAGAAGCTGATCGGCCTGATCAAGACGTTCGAGTTCAAGTGGCGCAGCGCCGACCAGCGACTGCACGAGGAGAAGGCCGTCTTCACCACCGTCGCCGCTGCCGCCGCCGCCGCCAATAACAACAACGAACCAGAGCCGCCGCCGACGACGACGACGACGACTACCAGTGCCGCCTCGCTGGACCCATCGCTGTGCTTCCAGCCGCGGCCGGGAGTGGCCATCCACCGACCGCTGCTCAGCATCACCGCCTATCTGAGCAGCATCAACATCTGTCTGGGCGCCTACGAGGAGCGCATGGGCTTCAAGGTGCGCAGCGAGACGCTGGGCAGCCAGCCGTTCATTCCGTCGGCGGCCAGCAAGCGACCCCGCACGGAGAGCGGCTCCGAGAAGCGTTCGCCGGAGGCCAAGAAGTCCAAGTCGGGCGCCAGTCCGCCGCTGGAGAAGAGTCTGGACGATGCGCTGCCCTTGGAGGGCAACCTGTTGAAGCTGGAGAGCAGCAGCGGCGATGAGTTGGGCGAGGAGATTCACGAGTTTCTCGGCGACATTGTGGAGGCCACGATTCAGACGGTTCAGACGGCTCTTGCCCCCGTGCCCGCCGATGACCAGCAGCCCGAAACGTTGGCTGATCCGGCTGCACCGACAGTGGCCAGCGAGCCGGCGCCACCGGCACCTGCCACCCCAGCAGCTGGTCCGCCGGCCGCGCGCTCCAAGCGCAAAGAAGCCAAAGAGGCGGCGGCCGCGGCCACGGCGCGCAACTTTAAGCCGCTGCTCAGCGACGAGATACTCAAGCGCATACGCAAGGGCTGGACGGAGGCCAATGCGGCGGACATCACCATTGGCGACCTGTACGTGGTCTTTGGCCAGGACTCCAAGCTGGAGCTGGAGTACTTCTGGTGCGAGACGGAGAGCAGTTCGCTGGCCGTGGCAGCCAGCAGCACCTCCTCCACCTCGTCGTCGGTGGCCACGCAAACGGGCAACAGCCAGGCGAGCAGTGTGTCTTCCAACTCCAACTCCTCCTCCGTCGTGGCCGCCGTCTCGTTGCCGTACAATCCCAACGACTGTGATAGCGTGGAGCGCGTGAGGGCCGTCACCACATCGTCGGTGGGCAACAAGCTGAAGCACCTGCTGCTGGTCGCCAATCTCAGCGAGCGCGTGCGCAAGCGGCAGTGCACCTGCGGCCACACCTGCGACCGCAAGCGGGACCTGACGAGCAAGGCGCAGCAGCTGGCGGAGGCGGCGGCCGCCGGTGGCGTCATGGAGGGCACCTTCCGCACCCCGATGCTGCCGGTGCGGCGGCCCATAGCCAACATCATCGATCCCGTGCGCCAGCTCTCAGCGGTGAGTACTGCCCGCTATGGATTAAGGGGGTGTTCTGGTCGAGAAGCCCAAATTTTAGGCATTTTTTTTTTTTTGAGAGTTAGATAAAGAATTGAAAAATATGCACAGGTTTTTTTAATGGTTTTTATTGGCATTTTAGGAATACAAAAAAATATTAAATATTATTTAAATATTTGCCGAGATATGTGGATCGGGGTATTAAAATCGCTGCGTCCTGGTTGACCGCATTACAACCCTTGTAGAGATCGGAAAGCAAAATCTATATAAGTAAAGAGACCCACATTAAAAAAATAATAATTTAAATTAACAACAACAAATTTTTGTTTTTTTTACCAAGATCGAAAACCTTTTAGAATTTTTTAAAAATACTTATAGTCAAAAATTTTTCAAGTCCCAGGCAGACGCGATAAAGAGTAGTATAAACAAGATATATACCAAATTTCGAAGGAATCAGTTCAGTAGAACTTGAAATATCATATCAACCTTCTCAAAAAAAAAAAAAAATAGTTTCGAGAAAAACGCATTGAAGATTAGGAAACATTTATAATGGCTCGGACGCCACGTCCAATTCGAATTTTGAAAAATCCTTTTAAGATCAAAACTTTCAAAATATGAAAAAAAAAAAAATCGTTTCTTTTCTTTAAATTTCTATACCAGAATACCCCCTTAAATCCCTCAACTCAATCACTAATCCCCAAATCTATACGCTCAGCTCACGCGCCAGAAGATGAGTCGCCAGGTGCTGGTGCAGCGTCGCCTCCTGCCCCCCGCCTCCATGGGCGGTCGTCCGTACGATCTGCTGAGTGTGCGCCAGCTCCACAGCGGCCTCTTCGAGCCCATCGAGCGCCTGGGCGACGGCGGCGGCGGCGTCGGCAGTGCCAGTGGCCTCGGCTCATCCGCATCCGATGCCAGCGGCAGTGTGGTGATGCCCCCGCAGTACCACCAGCAGCAGGTGCACCCGCAGGCGATGCAGCAGCTCCTCGACGAGGGATCCGCCCAGGGCGGCGCACGGGACATGCCCAATCTGGACTTCTGTGTGGCCACCAGCACCACCGGCGGTAGCGGCGGCGGCGGCGGCGGCAGCAGTTCCCTGACCGAGGCGGTCCAGGATGAGAGCACAAGTAGGAAGATCTTTGTCTAAGAATGGTTTCGGTTTTGCCTTTGAGTTCACATCATCAATCGAATTAAGCACTTGTCTGGGCAAAGCCTACATTAAATGCACTTCTGTATTGCATACCATTATTTTGTTTGGTTTTTGTTCACTTTTTAACATATTTACAACCATGTAGATGCTTAGGAGCCAAGCTTTGAATCATTTATCATAATATTTCGCTAGTAAAATATTATCTTTTCCCTGGCAGCACACAATTTAAATGTTTTTTATATGGCATTTAATTATTGATTTAGTTTTTCATCAATTAAATGCTTAATCATTTATATTATTTTTTCGCATTGCAATGTTATCTTATTCCTGGCAGCACAAAATTACTTCAATCAATCAGATTAATATTTTGCCAGCATTATTTTGTTTATCATTAAATGAATTTTTCTTTAGTACATTAGAATTATTTATAATATTTTTTTCTGGTAGAACACAATTTCTTCACATCATTTGAAAACATATAACGAATTCATGTTTTTATCTTCTGTCTTTCATTAAATGCAATTATATTGTTTGTTTATTCATATTTAAACATTTTTACATTTAATTTAGTTAGATATTTGGAATATTAAACCTTTAATTTCACTATTACAATGTTTATAAATCATTCAGCAACAAGAAACGAATTCGTGCTTTTAATATTTGTCTTTCATTGAATTAATTTATTTTGTTAAATACAATTTTTCTGTTTCTTTATCTTTAAACTTATTAACATTTAAATTAGTTGACTATTTAGAATATAAATCTTTTAATTTCACTATTAAAATGTGATCCTTTCCCTGGCAGCGCAAAACTTCTTCCACGGCAACGTGAGCCCGATGCACTTGCTCAGGGATTCCACTTCCAATGCGCGCTGGCTGGAGGACAACATCAATGACTTCTCGTTGACTTCGCTGCTGGGGCATCTGGACGAGATCGATGCCACCCGGGACATACTGGTAAGGCAGCCCTTGTTTTGGCCACTCCTGCTCGATGATGAAGAAATGGTGTTCACTTCTTCTCCCTCTCGCCCCCCAAAAGGATCCCTCGTCGAGCATGTCGGTGATCAGCGAGAGCAGCGTGGACTTCCGGCACAAGTTCCAGGAGATCGCCGCCCTGCTGCAGCAGCAGGAGAAGGATTAGCAGTGGCGAGGAGTCTGCCTCGTTTGTTCACACAGATCCGGAGATCCCTGAGAGGACGGGGCTATCAGCTATCTACTATCAGCTATCAGTTATCAGCTATCAAGTCTCATGTCCCATGTCTCAGTCTCATTTTTATTTAACTCACTGATATTATTGATCATCCCACATGTTATATGGATTAAGATCTGTTTTTACGCGACTCCTTGTGATCTATTCTCATTTTATGTCTGCCAAGTATTAGCAAGCACTCACATTGTCTAAACATATATATATATATTGATATTTATTTATGCATTAACTTTATGTGTATCCACGCGATAGAACGCGAAGGCAACTGCAACTGCAACTGCAACTGCAACTCCCATTTTAATTAATTCTCAGCCCCTATGTTTGTCCATTCGCTCGCACACTCGTTCCGCACTCCTCTAATTGGTTTCTCAGCATGTAAGATCGGTTCAGCATAGTTATTAAGCATGGGAAACACCAATCCCAATCGAAACTTCCAGTTGTATGATAGAGATTCTCCGCATGAGAGGCAACCAAAATCCCGAAACAAGACTCGAAAGTTTTACAAGTCGGGGAAATGTTTTTCCCTTCCACGGCCCCGCCCCTTGTTAATATATATAATATATATACAATACATAATTAAGTTGAGAGCAGAGGAACAACATTTAATCCTAGAGCGTATTTTGTGACAGTAACACTCAAAACTTGTTATTATACAAAGGCAAATACCGAAAATAAAAGCAAACTAAACTAAAAACTTGACTTTTTATTCTCTCTTTTCTATGGTTTAATGAAGCAAGGGGAATTCAAATAATTGTTGGTGACTTTTAAATGGACGGGGAATAATTAAAAGAAATTAAATAATTTAACATATAACATACTGTTTTTTGGTGTCGCATTTTAAAAATATAAACTAAATAATAATTTTCTATATGAAGAGATATTCAAATATACACAAAATTAAATACTAAATTATTTATGCTTTAGAGAAGCAAGTGAATTTCGTTTACTTCTTGGTTATTTTACTTTAAAAGTGACTTAAGTGAACTGGGAATAATCCAAAATAATTAATTCTTATTGAAAATTAAGAACAAACATTAAGCATCTACAGTTTTTCAGCAAGCAACCAGCTTTTTGGTGTCGAATATTAAACATAGTTATAACAAATTAAAAAGTAACTATGACCTAATAACTATTCTGTTTATGAAGAAGTATAGAGATATATACTGAACTAAGAACTAAGAATATTTATGGTTTAAATAAGGAAGGGGAATTCGATTGTTGGTTATTTGACTGTAAAACAGACTATTAAATGGACAGGGAATAATCCAAAAGAAATTAAATAATAATATAATCCTCTGTGTTTCAGTAAGATGCAACTAATAAAGTAACTATTAACTAATTAACCATTCTGCATATAAGGAGATGTACGAGGTAAAGTCTAGGTCTAAGGATCAGGTCTCTTCGTGGCTGTCCAGATGCATGTTCAGATCGTCCTTCTTCCGCTTCCTGCCCTCCTTGTGCGACTGCAGGTGGATGCCGAGGGAGACCTGCCGCTTGAAGGACTTACCGCACTCGTCGCAGCCGAACGGCCGATCGCTGCTGTGGACCAGCATGTGGCGGTTCAGCTCGGAGCGACTGCCGAAGCTGCGCTTCTGGCACACCTGGCAGTGGTGGGGCTTCTCCTGGCTGTGGCACCGCTTGTGGGCAATCAGGTTGCTCGAGTACCGGAAACTGCGGCCGCAGATGTCGCAGCCGTGCGGCTTCTCGCCCGTGTGGGTGAGCATGTGCTTCTTGTAGCCGGACTTTTGGGTCAGCCGCTTGCCACAGAGGCTGCACTCGAACGGCTTGATGCCGCTGTGGATCAGCAAATGGGTGCGCAGCGAGGAGGCCTGCCGGTAGACCTTGGAGCAGGTGGGGCACCTGTTCGGATTGTTCGCATTGTGCAGCGTTACATGGCCGTCGTGGGCGTTGCGCGTCTTGAAGGACTTGCCGCATATCTTGCAGGCGTACGGCGTGGCCGTGCCATGCAGCTGCATGTGGTACTTGAACGAGTTGTTGGTGCTCAGTTGCTTGCCGCAAATCTTAAAAAACACAAGAGTTAACCACCTTTTATGGTCACATCTGTTTAGCCAACCAACCTGACACTGCAGCGAGGGATTATGGGGTTTCCCTTGCCGGCTCCTGCTGGCCAAAAGCTTCTGCATCGCCAGTGGTTGCTCCTCTGGCTCCTCCACAATCTGGTAGAGATCGTCGCCAGCTTTGGCCTGCAACTGGGACTCTTGAGGGCTGTTTTCTTGTCCATTGTTAAACGGACCATGGAGTTTTACATGGTTCTTGAAATTCCGGTTGCTGCTCAGTTGCTTGCCACAGACCTTCGATTAGGAAAACACAATTAAAAAGCTTTCTTAATACTCCTCATGCAGCCAACCCACCGGACACTGTAGCGCGGGATTAGGACAGTTCGCTCGCTTTCCGTTGGTGGCTAACGCCTTCACTACAGATTGCACCGGCTCATCCACAATTTCATAGAGATCTTCACCAGCTTTGGCCTGCAAAAGGGGCTCTATTTGGAGGGTTTCTCCAACGCTTTGCGGGCAATGGAGCCTTAAATGGGACTTGAAGGTTCTGTTGCTGCTTAGCTGCTTGCGACCGACCTGCAGAAAATGTAGATACCATTAATATCTGTTGGTAATTCTCGATTTAGTCAAACCCACCGCACACTTAAGCAAGGGATTGGGAGTTTTAGCTGGCTGAACTTCCTTGGTTTTGCCTCCCAGTCGCAGCACTTCAATGGTGTGATGCTGCTCCATCTCTGCGATTGCCTCCTGGGCCTCCAACTCCAGATCCAGCCTCTCTTCCTGCAGAATAAGCTCCATCTCCTGATCTGCCTCCAAGTTCAGGTGTTCCTCCTCGTTTGGGCTAGATTCCTCTTGATTTTTCAGCTCCTGCTGGGGATCGTCTGCCATTTCCTGGTCATCTAGGTCAAAGATAAGGTCCTCGTTGATTTGAGGCGACTTCCCAGCCTTGGTATTCGGTTCATTGTTTCTTTGGTTGCGGCAAAACTCCAAATGACTTTGTCTTAGAAGTTTGTCCATCTGGTGGACCCTCCGCTTGAAATCCACCGCCAGCCATAATGTTTCCACGCATCTCGGGCAAATGTGGTGGGGCAGGAAGAGCTCCGTCTCCAAGACCTCCAGGCCGGTGCAGAACTTCAATATGTTGGCCAAAGTTGTTAGTCTTCCGGAAACCAAATTATCAAGTGGCTTGAAAAGGGGCAAACAGAGTGGTGATGAAATGTGGCAAACGCGGCACAGGGCGTCCATTGGGGATTGGGGACGACTTGGCAAGGGACTGCCCAGCAGCTCCATCGAGTCATCCAGCGACATGGCTGCCCTTGGTAAGACTGCCATCAAAATAAAACTGATTTAAGCGTCTTAATTTGCCAGCTTATTTTGTTGTGGTTGTTTGCTTGCAGCTAATTGGCAACCAGTGTTGTCAAATGGTTTCGGCACTCAGCTGACGGACCAGTGTTGGTAGGTACAAAAGCCCAAGTCAACCACAGCAGCTTAAAAAAAGCTACATTTGTACGCAGTTCATGACAAATTAAATATCACTGAGATAGTGGTCAATACAGGAAAAAATGTTTTTACTAGGAAAATATCGACATTCTTTACATATACATTTTTTTTGAGCAGCCCGCAAAACTTGTTTAAAATTTATTGTGCACAGTCTGCATAAAAGCAATTGTTTTAACGAAAGGTCACAAGACTCAACAATATACAAAAGAAAACAGCCAAATTTGGCTTGCAAAACTGCAATTCATAGCTGGCGCGCACCACGTGCTAAATGTACTAACGCCTTCTGAAGACAGCCAAGCCAAAAAAACCCTAACGCCATCACCGTGCCGGTGCGAGGTCGAAATTTTTATTGGAAATTTTGTAAGAAAAAAGTCGCGGCGAGCGGGCAGGACTCGTAACCAGCGCAAGGACACGAAATCGGGAAGGGAAGGGAAGCATGACCATGGCACCGGCCACCGTCCTCCAGATGCTGCGCAGCCTGAGCACGCCGCACATTCTCACCCGAATCCACCAGCACCGCGCATTGGGTAATCACCACCATAACCAGCTCCACCGTGCTGCATCGCGGCTATCCCACTCCACATCGCTGCCAGTGGCTCCTCCGTCGCTGTCCCCGATCCTGCACACTGCCCGCGGCTACAGCAGCAGCAGCACGGCCAGTAAGTGATCCGCTCCAGAAGCCCACCGAATGCCCCTCCAATCATGTGTTTTTTTCCCTTCGACAGAACAGGAAACTGGGGGAGCCACCGAAGGACCCGCCGCAAATGCCCCGCTGCTGGCCAAACTGTTTCCCCAGACCGCTCCGGAGGTGGACAGTACCGCCGAGCAGGAGCGCCAGAAGCGCGAGGAGGAGGAGGCCAAGGAGAATGAGCGCGCCTGGAAGCGCATGAAGCTGGGGTAGGTTCTCGCCAGGACTGGGATCTGAGAGGGTGTACAATGGGTTATGCCCAAGCCATCCACCACTTCCCCCATTGCAATTACTTACCCAAAATTGAAACCCCTTCTCCGGCAGCTTCGCAATCTTTGGCGGCGGCGGCGTGGTCGCTGGCCTGTGGGCCGTCTACGAGTTCGGGAAGCCCGAGGTGGATCCCAACGGGCAGACCATCGAGGACGAGTTCACACACAAGCCGCTGGTGCAGCAGTATGTGCAGCGCATGTGGAAGAGCATCCACTACTACCAGCGCATGATCCAGGAGCCGTCGCGGGCCAAGCTGCTGCCCGATCCGCTCAAGCCGCCGTATGTGCAGCCGCGCTACACGCTCGTCCTGGAGATGAAGGATGTGCTGGTGCACCCGGACTGGACGTACCAGACCGGCTGGCGCTTCAAGAAGCGCCCGGGCGTCGATCACTTTCTGGCCGAGTGCGCCAAGGAGTTCGAGATCGTTGTCTTCACTGCCGAACAGGGCATGACCGTGTTCCCCATTCTGGACGCCCTGGATCCCAACGGGTACATCATGTACCGCCTGGTCAGGGATGCCACGCACTTTGTGGACGGGCATCATGTGAAGAACCTGGACAACCTGAATCGCGACTTGAAGAAGGTTCCATTACGCCGCTATCCCCCGTTTTGCATTGAAATCTCTAACTGAACTGAGTTTGTTTTAGGTGATTGTCATTGACTGGGATGCGAATGCCACCAAAATGCATCCGGACAACACATTCGGTCTGGCCCGCTGGCATGGCAACGACGACGATGGCCAACTGCTGGACCTCATTGCCTTCCTGAAAAGTGAGTTTCTCCGTTTCTCCATCTATAAGCAAACAATAATGAAAATTTACTCCGTAGTCATTGCCCAGAACAATGTGGACGATGTGCGCGAGGTGCTCCACTACTACCGCCAGTTCGACGATCCCATCAACCAGTTCCGGAACAATCAGCGCAAGTTGGCCGAGCAAATGCAGGAGGCGGAGCGCATCGAGCAGTCGAAGACCAAGCCCATGGTCAAGCAGTGGTCGCGCAACATTCTAGGGCGCTAGGAGGCTGGCCAAACCGCACAACCCGTTCCATATCCATACCTTAACCTTCCGCCTGCCGCCAAGGCCACGTCCAGCCCAGAAACCAGAAACCGCAAATCGCAAATCGGGATTGGCAACGATCACTCACCCTCGGAACAGCACACTGGCCATATATTTTTTGTCGATCAAGGAGCAGGAGTAGCAGGGTGGCAGGATTGGAAGGCACGCTCCTTTTATTACCTTCTTGGGTTACGATAAGGCGAATGTTTTTGTTTAAATAAATAACTAAACTTGCTTGTTTTTGTTGTTTGGCAATGTAACCATAATAATATTATTATAAACGGATGACCTTAAAGCGAAACCAAAAACAAAATATACAAACCCATATGTTTTATTACAAAAGTGGAGGGCGAATTTGAAAAGTATTTTATGCGCTATCTTATCAAAGAGACTGGATAAGAGCACACATTATCGTTAGTGGCTTCACCAAAATAAGTTTCTTTAAATTCCATGTACATAGATGAGGAAAATATTTAACGGACAAAACTATAATATTCTCCTGTTGCTTTAAAAAATTAAAATTAATTATAAGAACTTTTATCTAAAATGCAGTTGAAGCCATGCATAATAAATCAGAGACCATAATAATTGTTATTAATTTGATTGCAAACAAATTAGAGTTTAATAATTATTGTTTTGAGTAATATTTTATTGTTCAAAAACTAATTATTACTTGAAAAAACTGACTCCAAAAATAATTGTTATTTGAGTGATTAAATAATACTCAATTAAAAATTATTAAATTGTGATTTTGTATTATTTCACATGTAATGTTAAGTGTCCTTGTAATATATAAATTATATTTACTAATAAAATAATAAATATAATAAATCTTTATACACCCCGCTAGATTAAAAACAGACTGTTTTGTGCGGGTAAAAAAATACATGTACATGGTACAATGTCATTAGCGTTTAATCGATTCCTAACAGCTCCAAGTAATCATAAATGTAGATGTAAAAACCTTAGGCTAGTCTTAGACCCTAGAGCCGCACCCTCCGCCCGGCAGACGCCGCTCAGAGCACCACCACCACTTTGGAGGTGGACACCGGCTGCTCAGGTACTTCGGTCAGGTGGTGGCCAGTCGCTGCTCCGCCGCCGGCTGCTCCGGTTGGAGCGGCGCGCCGGCGATGATCGATGCCGCTGGCGGTGGAGGTGGCCATCACTGGCGTCTCCTTGTTGTGGACCCGCAGGTGGCTGTTCAGACGCTTCTTGGTGGGAAAGGCCTTCAGGCAGACGTCGCACTTGAACGGCTTTTCGCCGGAATGCAGGCGGACGTGGGCATTGAGGTTGCTGGTGAAGGTGAAGGCCCGGCCGCAGATGTGGCACTTGTGCGGCTTGGCGCCGGAGTGGACCAGCATGTGCTTCTTGTAGCCCGACTTCTGGGACAGGCCCACGCCGCAGATCTCGCAGGTGAAGGCCTTCTCGCCGGTGTGGCTGATCTTGTGCTGGCGCAGCGAGGACGAATCGTAGTACGCCTTGTCGCACAGGTCGCAGGCGTAGGGTCGCTCGCCCGTGTGCGTCAGCTTGTGGCGCCGCAGGTGATCGTAGGCCGCATAGCCCCGCCCGCACTGATCGCAATTGTAGGGCTTCTCCTCCGCGTGCGTGCGCTTGTGCGCCGCCAGACTGGAGGTGGTGCGGTAGAAGCGGGCGCAGACGTTGCACTGGTGCGGCTTGACGTTGGTGTGGGTCAGCATGTGCTCCTTGTAGTTGCGCAGGTGCTTCAGCCGCTTGCCGCACTCCCCGCACTCGTAGTGCTTCTCGTCCACGTGGGAGCGCATGTGCTGGTTGAGGCGGCACTGCTGGCGGAACGCCTTCTGGCACACGGTGCACACGTGCGGCAGGGCATCGCCGGCGGTCAGTTGCGTGGAGTCCAGCGACTCCTCCAGGAAGTCCTCCTCCTCGCAGACATCCTCCGTTTCGGCCAGCTGTGGTGGTGGGCAATCAAATGCTTGGATTGCTTGTCAATACTACCAACTCGAACACTTACCAAATGCTCCTCGCGCTCGTCCTCGTCCAGTTCGAGAGCCTCCTCGCCGATCACCTCGTCCATGGCTCCCTCCGCCGGTATCACAATCAGCTGGCCCTCGATTATCTCGCCGTGTGCGCCTGACTCGTCCATCACCTCGATCTCGTCCTCCTCGGTGACAATCGTTTCGTATTCGTCCTTAATCGTCACGTACTCCACCTCGGCGGGCTGGAACTCGTGCACACTCTCCATGGTGATGTGCTCCTCCTGGTTGCCCACCAGCGTGTGCTGGTGGTTCTCCTCCTCCGTCAGCTCCTCCTCCTGTTCGGCCACTTCCTCGATGACGAACTCTTCGTCGTCCTCGTGGTTCGAGTGCGAGTGCGGATGACGTTCCGCCTCCGCGTCTTGTTCCTCCACCTGCAAGATACCAAAGTCATTATAGGTTCTTGTTATGAAATTTGTGTCTGTAACTTAAGAGGAGAGTACCCTGAAGTTGATTTCATATATTTTTAGGACAAACTAAAGAGTCGGATTATTATGCTTTTAACTAGGATTGTCTAACTGCCTAATTCAGCTGCAAAGATACCCTTTATATTGGTTTCTTACACTTTGTGGCTTCTGCTCGTTATAGCGCATCTGCATATTAATAATAAGGCTCCTTTTTTAAGGTTGTCACATATCACATTAAAAGTTGTATATATAGAACACCTATATATTGGCTTCCTACGATTCTTGGGTTCTGTTTCTTATTGAGCATATGTATATTAATATATTGATTTCCTACAGTTATGGGTTTTTGAATAAGGTTCTTTTTAAGGTTGTCACAACTGTCCCATCCTATCATAAAGTGGCTCTATAAAATAGAATGTTACAGTGCATAAGACACTTCCTGCCACTATTACCACCCCGTTGTAAGTTTAAAGACCCGTGCATACTGGGTACGTACAGTGCATGACTCCTGCTCCTCGTTGAGCATCTCGATCATGACGTATTCCTCGCTGGGATCGGCGGACTGCAGTTGTTGATGTTGCTGCTGATGCGGGTGGTGGTGCTGCTGATTCTGCTGGTGGTGGTGGTGGTGCTGCTGCTGCTGCGGCTGCTGCTGGTGGTGGCCATGCGCCTCGTCCAGTCCCAGGCGGAGCAGCTCGTCCGAATCGATCACCATGCGCTTAAAGTTGAACGCCTGCTCCAGGAGCTGCAGGCAGTTGAGGCAGATGTGCTGCGGCATGGCGGCGCCGTCCTGCGGCTCGAAGGAGAGCCCGGCGCAGTAGTGGAGCATGCTGGCCAGCGTGGTGCTGCCCTCCGGGCCCAGCTCGATCTCCTCCTGCAGCGGCTTGTGCTGCTTGCAGGCACGCGTGCATGTCCGGCAGTTGAGCACCACCACCCCGCCCGCCTTGCCACTCATCATACCGATCCTGTCCGTCTTCCTTTTCGTTTCCGGGCTTGCTTCCGTCGGATTACGCCGTGTACCACAATAAAATGAAGTTTAGCTTGCTTTTTTTGAAAATTAAAACTAAAAACTTTTTTGATGCACTGCACTAGAGGTGGCCAAACATCGACACTTGCATCAGTGTCATCGATGTCTTCAAAAACATCGGTAGTATCGATGTTTGTCAGGAATCATCGATTGATTTTCCATCTCTAACTAACGCTAAAAAATGGTCACCCGAAAAATAAAAGCTCCACTTTTTGCGCAATATTAACGATTCCACTCCATTTCTTAATTTAAAAAAAAATACTTTCTAAACAAACAAAAGTCAAGAAAATAGTAAATAATAGTAAATAAATAAATAAAATAGTTAATTTTTGACAAATCTAGCCAAAGTGAAAAGCGCTTGGGAGAATATCCAAAATAAAATATTTAACGAAAATGAACAAAGGGGAACCCCAAAAATCATCACATAAAAATGACTAATTTTTCATCTTTCACAAACAAATATTAGAAAAAACGTTTAATTGATTTAGGGTGGTGATTGAATCGAAGTATATCGAGTACATATTATCGATAAGTATTCAAATTTTAAGAGTATACATTATCGATTAGTATTCAAATTTCAAACTTACATTAGACTGTTCATTCTTTTTGTTTTCGGCTTGCAAGCGGATGTCACTTGCTCTCTTCTCAAGTGGCTGCTTGGCCATTAAACTTTTTTGATTTGTTTATTTTCCCAAGTGCTTTTGGGCTCGTGCCCTCGTGTTTTTTTCGGGTTTTAAAGTCTTAAAGTGCTGAATCGGATAAAAAGGGTGCATCAAAGCAATGAAGCCGCTGCAGAATGTTGAGGTTCCCAGCTTTACGGTCGAGTCCCACGGATCCACTTTCACTTACGCCAGTCCAAAATCCGGAGAAGCATCCATGGACTTTTTAGCGCACACAATCGGGGGAAAAGACCCGAGCAAAAGTAGAATTATTTTGATATGTCAGCAAAATTCAGAGAGCGAGCGTCTGAAATCGGAGCTTGCCATTCGCAATGTAAACACAATTAGACTTTCAGCGGATGATCCAATGGCCCACCAGTTGCTGCTCCTCTGGTCCAAGGGCGTAAGTTCCGACCAATCTCCGATTTAAAAAAATAAATATGGTAAAAAAAAGAACAGGATAATACAATCGTTATAAATTTGCATATTAAATTGAATAAAATAAAGTGCTCAGTTAACTTAAAAAATATAACAAATTATTTAAAGAGCTAGAAGCAAAACTTGCATTAAATTATTTTATTTTTATGTTTATTTCGCTTATTAATTTGCCTTTTTCATGTAATTAAATGCAAAAATAAGAACAAATTTTAAATACACAGAATATAGAAAATTATGATGAAGGTGTTATTTTTAAAATACTCCACTTCTTAGTCTAGTTTCAAATTGCTTTGCATTTTTTGGTAACCATTTGATCCTATTTTCAGTACATTCAACAAGCTCTGATCCTTTGCGATGGTATGCTCAAGTTTCTTGAGGGGATCGAGGTGCATTTTGTGATCCATGCTACACTGCCGCCCTTGGAAAAGTTCGAGGAACGTTTGGCGATGCTGAGCAAGTCGGAAATTAAGACCGAAATGCTGGTTATTACTGGCCACAATGAGATGTACAATACAAATTCAGGCAACGATATAAACAATTTTGGCCCGGAAAACGCCATAAATGTGGTGGTTAATCAACCAAAACTAGAGAACAAAGCGTTGACATCCCAAAACATGCTTTTCGAAGATATAAAACCATTGGTCAGTGCAGAACCTACGCACTTAAGGCTACTCCATTTGAAGAAGAGGGTGTCCTCCACGGATCCTAAAGGCTTGGAAACGCCAGTTAAAGTTTCCGATCTTCAAAAAACCGAGAAAGCAAGCAAACCCTCTTTTGGCATCGCAGACATTAGAGGCGCCTTGAAAGATCTTCGAGAGTTAGTGGAGACAATCCCAACACCTCTGGATAGTATTGAACTTGAAGACAAGGAGCAGCATTGGAGTTCCATTGGATCTGCGAATTCGGGCAGCTCATCTTCAGCCATAGATCAAAGCATGACGGATACGGATCCCGACGAGAGCACCTCGCTGGAGTCGCACGGTTCTGGGGAAGATCCCCCTCTGGCGAGGGCTTCCTCTCCGGCAGCTGGAGTCCGACATCACTTCGGCGTGCTGGCCTGCAGCCGCCACCTGCTGTGCCCCTGCTACTCGATGAGCGGAGTGCCGGACATGAGCATGGCCGTCTGCCAGGCCATGCACAAGCTGGGCCTGCTGGACGAGCGGGCCCGCGGCGTCCAGCGATTCGCCTGGCCACATGTCGCCTCGGGCAAGTCCCTCATGGTCGTGGGCAACATGCAGACGGGCAAGACGTGGTGCTACCTGCCCACCCTGTGCCAGCGCAGCCATGCGGATCTGCAGCGCCGGCCGGCGGATGACCAAGGCTTTGGACCCACCAGCATCGTTGTGTGTGCCAGTGCCGCGCAGGGCAGCAAGATCGAGCACTGGGTGCGGCAGCTCCTCGGCTCGCTGGCGAGTGAGACGGATGTGGAGGGCTTGGAGGGCGTGGAGGGCGTGGTCGCGCTCTGGGAGAAGGGCAGTGTGACGGAGATCGCCTGCCGGCTGTGCCAGCCCGTGGGCATCCTGGTGACCAGCGCGGATCTGCTGCTCCAACTGCTCACGCAGCACCACTCGAAGAGGGCGCCCATCTTCGATGCCCGGGCACTGAAGTACCTGGCCTTGGATAACCTGCACGACATGGTGCGTCTGCTGCCGGTCATCACGATCAAGCTGCTTAAGCGGTTGCCCCAACTCTTCGACTTTGGCCAGGGCAGGTGCCAGCTCGTGGTCTCCGGACGCAACTGGCACGGCGGCCAGGTGATGGACCGCCTCCTCCCGCTGATGACCGATGTGCTGATACTCTTCGAGGATCCCCTGGAGGCCAGCGTCTCCAGGGGCCTGCGGCTGGATGCCCAGCTGGTGCAGGCGTCCCAGAAGTGTGCCCACTTGGTGGGCCTGATCCGGGGCACGAATCTCGCCGAGCAGCGTGTCATTGTGGTCTGCTCGGACAGGGCTGAAGTCTTGGAGCTGCAGCACAAGCTGGGGCAGATGAATGTGGAGGCCTTGAGCTGTTGCCTCGCGGCGGAGGGCCTTTCCCAGGTGGCCAGGTGGCGCGGGCAGTCCAGGACCTCGCTGCTCCTGGTCACGGACGATGTGGTGCCGAAGCTCAAGTGCGGCCCCATCGATCTGCTCGTCCACTACAGCTGGGCCAGCAGTTGGATGCGTTTCAAGCAGCGCTTCACTCTCTTCTACGAGAACTACAAGGCCACACAGTCCGCCCAGCTGGGCCACCGGTCCGTGGTCCTCGTCCAGGAGACAGGAGACGTGGACAGCATCTGGCTGCTGGCCGACTTCATGCTGAAGCACCTGCTCCCGCGGCCAAGCCACCTGCTGGACATCCTGGCCCACCGCCGCCTCGCCGACCAGTCCAATGCGCAGGCGCCCAGGCTGTGCCGCCAGCTGACCGCTTTCGGGGATTGCCTGCGGCATCGCTGCTCGTACCGCCACGTGCTGGGGCCGCAGGAGCTCCTGCCGCCGGATCACTATCCCGGCGAGAGCAAGATTCGCTTCACCGTCACAGCTGTGAGTGCTCTGAAAACAAAAATATACTTTATTTTAAACCATTTCTACAAGTCCATCAACTTTTTAGTGATACATTGCATGATTATATCTATGAAGATGGGAATGTTTGTTAGTCTTGTTAATTGTAATTGTAATTCTACACTAAAGGGTATTATTAATTACATATACTTATATTGGTATTTGTAATAAATAATAGCTGGCAATCTTGATAAAAACGATTTATATTATTATATACAAGATATATTATTATATATAAATATATATATAGGCATTAATTACATGTGTTACATATGCCAAGATAAATAATAATAAAATGTTTATCTGGATTTATGTGATAAATAATCACTGGCCATCTTGATAATTGTAGTTGATTTTTTAAACGATTATTATTATATATAGTATTGCTAGATTACGTAACAGCTTGTATAATGTTCCTATCTTCATAGATATAATAATAATACAAATAATTAGCAATAAAAATACTATAGCCTTTTCAAAAATCTGTAAAACACCTTTTCTTGTCGAAAATCTTTTGATCTACTTAGTTTTCAACTAATTTTTTGATAAGCTACTATATAAGAAGGCCTTGTCTTCGCAAAACATTTTTTTTTATTTATTGTATGTATCCCAATTTATTTGATGGGTTTCTTTTTTTCAATCGAACTCACATTTCAATCCTCTTTGCAGTGCAACAGCCCCGCCAATTTGGCAGTTCGTCTGAGCGACCGATTCCCCACGACGACCTACTTCCTCGGCTTTCCCATGTCCCAGCTGAGCGAGCAAGTGCAGCGCCACTACGAGGTGGATGCCAACCGGGTCATACATCCCAATCCGATGCCCGGGGAGAAGGCCGTGGTCAGGAACCTCAACCGCTACGAACGGGTGCTCATTTTGGACGTGGAGAAGGAGAAGAACGACAAGGTCGTGGCCCGTCTGCTGGACTCGTCCGTCGAGATTCTCACCTTCAAAGCCAGCCAGTTGTACATCTGCGAGGAAACATTCAAGGTATTAAATATATTTTATATTTAATAACTGCATTGCAGTGTTTAGGGTTTGATTACATTCTACGATAAAAATACATTCTAATAAAATAATCAAAAATCGATTCTATATATTATCAAATTCGGGGATAAGCTTCTTTTGACTATAACGATGTCTTGGTAGATCTATAAAATCTTTTCAAATTATTTTATCATAGATATTATATAATTTTGGAATAAACAATTTTGACTATCCTTATATCTGATTTTTTTTCTGATAATAGGTTTTTCTTAATTACATTCTTTTTCATATTATATTATCAAATATCGATCTTAAATATTAGCAAATTTTGGGTTAAACAACTTTGACTATACTTATGTCTGATTTTGTCATGATCAAAGGTATTTCTTAGGTAATATTATTATATCTTTAAATTAACATTTTTTCAGATTATCTTAGCAGAGATCGATCTTAAATATTACCATG